ACCCTGGCTGAAACAGGAAATATACAATAAATCCCATTTTTATGACTCTGTAAGTCAATGATTTTATGGTTTTAGTAACAGGCATGTAAGAAGTATTTTAGGGTTTAGTTTTCAGTGAGTTGCATGGTTGTTTTTGGTTTGTGGTTTAGTGTTTGTTTTTCTAAGGCAGTGTATATAAGCAAATTAAATCACATGTAATCCTGAGATTGCCAAAGAAAGATTCAGGACAACAAAAACCTGTTCTAAAGAAGTATTTTTCTCAGCTAGTTTTATTCTTGGGAATGTCCTGAATAGATACAGTCACACCTGCACCTTTTTTCCAGCTGGAATGGGCAGGACCAGACCATAAAGAAGTCTTGGTTTACAAACAGCAGCCCACTGGGTCCTTGGGCAGCCTGACCCATGGGATGATGGAAGCTCCCCAAGCACAGAGTGAGCCTGCATCTTCTGTAAACACTGCCACAGCTCACTGGTCTGCAGGGTCTGGCAGAACATGCAAGCTCAGAGTGGAGAGATGACTTATTTAATGTCACCTAGAGCTTACAGACTAATGAGCAGGCTGTTCCCTCCCAGTGCTAATGAAGTTTATGGTATCTAAAATACAAATGTGCCTGCACATAGGCCTCTGCATCTTCAGGGCCAGGAGAAATAACACCCTTCTTCTGCTTTTTTTTTCCTGATCTCTGATTTTCCCTCTCTGAAATTCATAGAACCATACAATGGTTTGGGTAGGAAGGGACCTTAAATATAATCTCATTCCACCCCCCTGCCATGGCAGGGACACCTCCCACTATTCCAGGTTGCTCAAAGCCCCTTCCAACCTGGCCTTGCACCTTTCCAGGGATGGGGCAGCCACAGCTTCTCTGGGCAGCCTGTGCCAGGGCCTCAGCACCCTCACAGGCAAGAATTTCTTCTAATATCAGCCTAAACCTGCTCTCTTTCATTTTGAAGCCATTTCCCCTTGTCCTGTCACTTCAGGTTTGTTTTAGACACATACTGATTTCCCAGCCACTTATAGACTATGGAATTAAATGCATCCACAGTAGGTACTTAGTACCTCTCCTCTTAGAAATGTAAACACAGATTTGTTGATCTGCTGAGCTCTGCCCCCGCCAGAGTAGGTGGGACATGTTTTGAGCTGGTCCTTCACCCTCCCTGTGCCTCCTCTGGCCTATGAGCACCCCTTGCTTATAGAGGTAAAATGCTGGGGTGTGTGTATGGGGATGTTTCTTATCTCTAAAGAGAGACTGCAACACTTCAGGATAGAACTGATGCCAACAAATACACTTGGGACTGCCTTGTCTGCAGCAGGTTAATATTGACCAAGCCTGTATTTCTTACTATTTTGTGTTTCTTACTATTGCAAAGAAAGCTTCAGATTTCAGTTTTATTTTTTCAGTGAGGTTGTATTTCTATATTTCTCTCCAGTAGCATAGTTCCAGCTTAGATTTGAAATACATGTATTTCTGTATTTCAAGCCATGAAGTTTTCCTGATGGACAGTTCTAACAGTGGAGCTGGACATCAAAGCATCTCAGAAAGCCAGCTCTTGCCTCTTAAGCCTGTTGCTGTTTATCTTCCTCCTGCAAGAGAAAAACAAGGGGTGGGTGGGGGAATAGATACTGTGTAAAGGAAAAAATAACAAAGAAATAAATTAATGCCAGGTGTCTGGAAGCAGTTCCTTACTTAGCTTCCTTTTGGGAAAAGGTGAAACAACAAACCCCACAATCCCTTTTTATTTCCTTTGCAGCCCTCCTCATTCTGCTCTGTTTCTGTATCCCCAAATAAAGTTGGTTGGCCATCCCCAGAGCTGTGAGGGTTATCCTGCCACCTCCTGCTGAAATCCATCCTCGTGGCACTCCAAGGTAACCAAGCTGGGGTTTTTTTTGGGTTATGGATGAGTAAGTTTGACCTCAGGCACTATGCACTGTTGTAGGTTACTGTGATTCTTGTAGGGAATAATAATAATAACAATAATAATAAAAAAACAACCAACAACTTTTTCTGTAATTTTTGTATGAGCTACTCTAGAAGCAAATCCCTGCCCTAGGCCTCAACCCCACTGAGTTCTTGTTTATTCTAGGAAACGACTTTGTGTGATACTATGGGCTGTATTATTATTCTTTAAATGTATAGGTTTGTGCCAACTCCCCCAAAGTGTACCATGAAACTCACATGCAATCAGTACTGATCTCAGTCTGCTGCTGCCTGGGCACACTTTTATTAAGAAATTCTTACTGGTCATGCATGACATCAAGTTGACAGAATGATGATACCATAATTTGACTAAACCCTTTTGGAGTTGTCCAAGATAAGGAATTTGATTGTTGTCACAACCCAGCCTCAGAGTTTTGGCACTGCCCTTGTTATGGAAGCTGTAGGAAGAGATTTTTTTCTTCATAAATCTTAAGGAAGTGGTGGGAGAGAAGGGGGTGAAATTCCTGACAGCACTGTGGTAGCACCTGGAGTAAAAGCTACTTTGTATTTTGAGACTGGTGGAAAATTTCAGGTACCACAGCACATGCTTTCTCAGCTAACATACAAACTCCTGAGTCACCATTTTCAGTATGCACACACATTATAGTTCCAATTAGCAGCGCTGGTGTTGAGCAGCAACTGCATGTGAAGACAGAGGGTAGGTTGGTAGCTTGCTCTTTTCCTCTAGACATTTTGTTTTCCTTCTAGTGTAACTCTACCTGCAGAGCAGAGCACTGTAGCTGCATTCTGAAAGCATGAAACCATTGCCCTCCTCTTCACTGTCTCTTTTTCTGTTCTACCAGACTCTTCCTCTGTTAAAAAAAGGTGTCAAGGCTGGCCATAGTGCTTCTGTGTAAGAGAAAATACCTTGGCAGACACGGGTGGTGTGAATGTTTGGTTAAAGTAGCAATGTTTCAGGTCAGTAATCAGACTGCCTAGTTCCAGCCAGAGGTGAATTTTTACCACCTCGTATAAGCTGATTTATAGTGGAAGCATGAAGAGGTAATGAATGCAGACAGCCCTGCAGGCCAGCAGCCCCTATCCTCTCCCAGGCACCAGCTGCACCAGGAGCTTGCCAGCAGGGCAAGTGGGCAGTGCTCTGCCAGCTCAATGCATGGGAGGTATCAATGTTCACACCAGCACTGGGAGATGTGAAGCCAGTTTGTATAGGAATGTGTTTTAATGTTTGTGATCTCATGGGGATGCCAGCATTTGCTGTTCTGAAAGAATTTTCAGTAATTTTACTCTTTGAGTAAAGAAGTACAAGGTCATCTCATGTAATCTTATAGACTTGGGACTAAAAAATTAAGCTTATGGACTTCATAGTCTTATTGCAGGCATAGGAATATTCACTATTATCAATGCTTTTCCCTGCAAAACACAGGAAATGCTTTTAAAGCTGATTTATGTAATTATCAATTATCAATCTGGAAAAAAAAAATCCCAGAGATGGGAGAATTTCATAGTGAAGTAGAAAATATGTTAATTCATGTCAATAGGTGCTTTGCATTGCTCTGGCCCATTTCCCTGGACTCACTCTCGGGGATGCACTGCTCTCACACTCACTGCTGTCAGGTAAGGTCCCAGTGTATTCAGTTCCAACCACCTGGGTAAGGTTTTTATTATACCATATTTTTTTAAACATGTATTCTTTTACACTGCTAGGGAAAACTCAGGCCTGAGGCTTTGCTATGACTAAATTTGAAGAGCTAAGAGGATGAGTAAACCCAGTTCTCTCTAATTCCCCCTGCAGAGGAGCAAGCTACCCTTTGCAGGGAAAGCCCTTTCCCTTTCCTTTGCCTTCATTTTGCAAGCTTGGATGCAGCCACAGGGTCATGGGCACCTGACTGATCCCTCCTAAGGCTGTCACATGCACACGTGTGTGAACATTTCTGCCTCCCTTTGAGGCCCAAATTTTCTTCTAGGAGTGCAGGGAACAAGGTTTGGATCTGAAATTAGCACCTGCAGTGGTGGGCAAATAAAAGGTACCTGTACTCCACTGGCCATATCACAACTCCTTGTTTGGTTGGCATGTGCCTTTGCTGGAACAAGGACATCAGCAGCTGAATTAAAGGGATTAAGGTTTCATCTGCAGTCATAAAGTGAAAAACTTCAGAAAAGCCTTCTAGGCTTAGGACCCTGTGTTTGTGAGCCTGTATCCATGGCTGCTTTCGCAGCTTGTTCACGTTTTTGGTCTGGTTTCTGAGCACTGGCTTGTGGTAGGTGTGTTTCTACTCACAGGTTTGATGCAGGGGCAGAAGCTGGAATAATAAATGTGGATCAAGCAGTTGCTCGTGCATTTATAACTGGAAAGAACTTACTCAGCTAATAAATATCAGCTTGTGTTCTCTGTGCAACCTGGTCCAGTGGAAGGTGTCCCTGTCCATGGCAGGGGGTTGGAACTAGATGATCTTTAAGGTCCTTTCCAACTCAAACTGTTCTGTGATTCTATGATTATATCAGGCCACATTTTTTCTGATCAAGTCAGAACTCCTTTTGCTGCACCACTGTTTTGCGAGGTATCTTAAACAGTATCTGGCCTCTTCAAATGTTTTTAACCTTCTGTAAAGAAAGCATCCCCAGCTGCTGAGCTGAATCTCCGTCATTTTTAAGCCTCTCAACACTATTACTCTCCTCTAAAACTGCTCACCCATCGCTATGTCTGTGTGCCACGCTTTTCGCGTGCACCTCCTGCTTAAGCATTTGTACCCAGCATAGTGTGTGCAAAAAACAAACAAAAAAAGAGGTGTTTGTTAAAAGATAAGAATATACCTCCGAGAGATTGGTCTGAAATCGTGTTCAGTCTCCCAGTAAGTTTTTACTTCGGGGAGAATTCAAGCTCTCGCTTGAGAGAGAAATGTCTCCTCTCGGGTTCTTGCCAGCAGGCGAGCCCCCTCCCCAGCGCAGGGCCGCTCTCCTTTGTTCGGGGCCGGGCTGCGGGGCGGAGGGGCGGGCCCCGGTGCGCGCCCGCGGGGCCGGGCCAGGGCGGGCGGAGCCGCCCCCGCGCCGCGCCGCGCCCGCTCGGCCCCTCGCTTACCGTCGGGCCGGGCGGCATGAGGCGGGGGCTGCCGCTGCTGGCCCTGGCCGGGCTGCTGCTGCTGGGGCGGCCGCCCGCGGCCCGGGGGGCGGCCTGCGAGCCGGTGCGCATCCCGCTCTGCAAGCCGCTGCCCTGGAACATGACCAAGATGCCGAACCACCTGCACCACAGCACGCAGGCCAACGCCGTGCTGGCCATGGAGCAGTTCGAGGGGCTGCTGGGCACCAACTGCAGCCCCGACCTGCTGTTCTTCCTGTGCGCCATGTACGCGCCCATCTGCACCATCGACTTCCAGCACGAGCCCATCAAGCCCTGCAAGTCCGTCTGCGAGCGCGCCCGCGCCGGCTGCGAGCCCGTCCTGGTCCGCTACAGCCACGCCTGGCCCGACAGCCTGGCCTGCGACGAGCTGCCCGTGTACGACCGCGGGGTCTGCATCTCCCCCGAGGCCATCGTCACCGCCGAGGGCGCGGGTGAGTGCGCGGGGACCGGCACCGGCGCGGGGACAATGGGCGGCGGGCGGGCGGGGAGGGCAGCCCGGGAGCCCTGCCTCCCCTCCGGCTGCTCGCTCGGATTCTCTCTGCTCTGCCCTCCGCTCTTTCGCTGTCTGCTCTCTGCCTTTAGCAGCCGCGTCGCTGCTGGAAAAGTTTTGCTGTTGGGCACAGAGTGTGTGTGACAAGTGACAGCCCCGCCACCGAGTGTGGGAGTTGCAGCCCTCGTTGCACACGAACGGGAAACGTTTCCGTACCGCTTTTCTACCGGAGATCCATCGGCAGCGCTTGCTGGCACAGAATGAGGGGCAGCCCCCCGGCTGACGGTTCCCCCTCTGCCCCCGCTCCTCTCTGCTCCTCTTCAGCCGCTCCTTCCCAAAACAGGTTGCTCCCTTCTCACACAATGCCAGCACTCCACAGATTTTGGGAAATATCAGTGCCCAGAGGAGCCCCAGGCAGGAGCTGGGGCGCCGGGGTCTCCCCAGCTACTTCTTTGCCCGTGGTGGCACATGCACGGCTGGAGGGGAGAAAACACGCTCATCTTAGTGGTTAGCACCGAAGGTACAGTTACAGCACAGGTTCCACAGCAGGTCCCTGGGCTCTAGAACTACTGCCAGGTGAGGAGTGCAGCAAAGTGCAGCCTTCCCTTGTGTTTTGTTCTCAACATCCCTGAAGCCAGCCAAACGCTGCATCCTGCACCCGAGCCTGATGCTGTGTGACCATGGTGGCCTCGGGGGCTGCTGGAGCTGCTCAGCTTTCTCTCTGCATCCTGTTTCACCAGCTGAGCTCACTGTGATCCCACAGGGTGGCTGGTGCTGGGTGTCTGGCTGCCATCCAGCACCACTGTCCGAGGCAGGAGCATCTCTGCCCAGTCAGGTGAGGACTGCTGACTGCTCAGACCATGCTGCAAACCTGCTGTGCCTCAGGGATCCTGCTCTTGTCACAGCTGCCTTTGGGCTGGAGGAGTTGGCAGGACACTCCTCCAATGTGGTGAGCTGAGCTCCACAGAGATATTGAATACAAGGGGCTATTGAACAGGAAATTAAAGCAAGCTGGTGGGTGGTTATCACGAGTGAGCTCCGACCTTTTATAAAGTGACTACAGTTCCTGTGTATTTTCAGGAAAGCATTTGCTGCTGGTGGAACCAGCCTACCATTTTCTCTGGCTCAAAGTTTCAGTGCTGGTGGCTCTGCCAGACCTCTCCATCAGAGCAATACTGGGGTGGGAGAGCAGACCAGGGGGGTCAGAGCAGCATCCGTGCACCCCAGGAGCTTGTTGTGCTGCTGCCTGTCTCCTTCAGTGCCCACAGCTGCAGTGCTGGGTTTTGGGAGCTCACTGACAGGCAGTGGATCTCACCTCTCTGTCCTCCCCCAGCAGTGGCCTGGGAATGAAAGGGGGATTTTTCATGCTGTGCTCAGCACAGTATTTTACTGTGCTTCTGTTCCCACTACAAAATGCTTTATGTATCCCTCTGCCAGTAATGCCAAACGCTGTAATTCCTGTTTTCTTCTCCTAACAAAATCTCACGCTTCAGTTTCCTGACCGTGCTCCCCAGCTCAGCCTTCCCAGGTAAGCTGCTCTCTCTGTCTCCATTTATTTACAGACCAGACAAACCCTAATCCATCTCTGACTCTATTCTCTTACCCTCTGCTTGTCCTGAAACCTCCATACCCTCATATCTCCAGTTATTACTCTATTTCTAACTTCTAGCTCATTCCCTCTTGTCTTTTCCTACTTTTTTTTCCAGCCCATGAACATAACCATCTATTTTTGCCATCAGCTGCTGCTCTCTGAGCCCTGCAGTCCTGCTGGGCTAGTTTTGGGGAGAGATGTGGTTTTGAGCACCAAGCACCTTTCTCTGCAGCATTGAGGTGCTTTCAAAACCACCTTAAAAATGGCTCAAGGTTTGGCAGGTCTGCAGCGATTTGAAAGCAATCACATTCAAATCTGGAGGGAGGAAGCTTGGCTGAAATCGCCCCCGAGTTACCTATTTCTGAGGACCTCAGCAGTACAATAACCTCTTTGAGGGATTCCAGGGCCAGATCCATGAAAACTCTCTTTCAGTGAATGAGAACCTGATGACATTCTCATTTCTGGGCTGAATATTTTGAACTGGTGCATTATGCACCAGACTGAAAGAATCCTTCTTGAGGGAATAAAACTGTTCTTTTAGAAAGTAGTGGGAAGGATTCCTGTTCTAGGAAGAGGTAAGGTGAACACTTTCAAACCAATTCTCCAAATAAAGGATTGCAACTCAGTAGAAGACACAAATAACCAACTGCCTGATGAGTAGTGTGCAGAATCCCTGCTCTTATTTGCTTTAATTTATCTCCTAAGCATTCTAGCCCCTTCTGCTGTCTGTAAACTACACCTAATAGAGTGGGCAGAAGTATAATCCATTGTTTTGTGGCTTTTGTTGCAGAAGAGGCTTTTTTGTTTTCTTCAGAAGCGAAATCTTTGCTCTCATTCTTTTGCTACCTGTAATAGCGTTCTACTGTATCCTCTTGAGGTTTCTGCATGTTTCTGCATTATTTTTGCATTGTTGTTCTAATGTTCACCACATTTGTCGTGTCCCTTCTATGAGAGAGCCTTAAGGATGATGTAGTCAGTGTTTGTCCTTGTCAGAGCAGGGACTGGGTTCACAAGCCCAATTTCCATCAGTTATATTCCCAGTAACTTGTGAGTGTTGCAAAGTATGGAGGAACTGTGGTTGGTAAAATCTGTGATAAATCTCAGTAAGAAGTTCACTTCCAGCTGTTGAGGCACAGTCCACCACAGACATCTTCTAGGACCTCTCTTCATCTGAGTCTAGGTGTGAGGAAGATCCAGACCCTTCCTGTCACAGCACCAAGGGACTGCTTTGTGTGTGATGGAGAAAGCTGACAGCAGTGCTGTGTTTTGGGCTCAGTTAGAGGAATAGCTGTGCACACCCCCGGGCTTGTGCTGGTCTCCAAAATCTGAGAGGGAGTGCTGATTGGGAGGTCTCAAGTTCTTCAAGTTACAGAAACTGACTTAAAACATGTGGGAAGTGTATGTTTCTTGATTTTTCATTCTCTTTGGGAAACATCCGGGTTCCTTTACAGCCAGAAAGCAGAGGGATGCTGCAGGCATGGTGTGAGTGTTCTGGAGGTGAGTGTGATACTGAATAATTTGGCTTTTTGTGGAGGATCCAACAAATCATCATCCAGGATGGAGGATGAAAGAGCATCCTGACAATACATTAACACCCTGGGTGTCAGATTAGTGCATGCTGTCTGAAGTCTCCTATGGCATGTAGCCCACATCCCTGTCCTTTCCTTTTTGGAGGTGAAAGTGGTTCTGTGTGCAGACATTAGTATCAGCTGTGTTACATCTCTGGGAGGTGCTGTTCACTTGCTCCTTGTATTTCATTCTTCACATGTATTTGCTTATTCTTCCTCCAATCTATCACATTATCTGCTTTCCTCATTTAGGGCCCTGTCAAACTTCCTTAAGTCTGTGGAGCAGGAGCTGCTGAGAGCGAAAATTGTCTCAAATCTAGAATTTCAGAGGCAGGACCTTGTCTTTAGTTTTGCAGGTAATAAGTGGCAAGTGTTGGCATGGGGATGCTGACTAAAAAAGCATCTTCAACATGTGTTCTTGGCTGCTACTGCCTGGCAGAGTGTTTATGTCTCAACTGAAATGTTCATTCCTGTTTTGAAGAGGGAGCTAGCAACAAAACCAGAGCAGTGTGATGGGTTCTGTGCATATTGGAAGTCAGATCTGTCAGGCAGGTTGTCTCACCTTATCTTACTTAGATAAGAACATAGCTTGAAGGTGTGTTGGCCTGTTACTAAGATGTTGGAGAAAAGGGAAGCCACATCACAAGGTATCAACCATGTGTAGTTAACACTCAAACTATCATAAGATGTCTAAGGAGAACTTGAATTTATTTTTTTTGTTTTAAAATACTATCTCTTAAACATTAAAGAAAACTGTACATTATTCACATGCTGGACACCTATTTCTTAAATCATATGTGAACCCACGATTTCTCCATGTGGCCCAAGTCCTCCATGTCTGTCTGGATGAGCTCATAGTAACCCAGTATGTTAATTTGGCGTTGCAGGTTAAAAAGGCAAGTGAACAAGCCATTTCTCATGCTTGTTTCTTATTTATTATTACCTTAATTTCCAAAAAAAGTGTTTTCCAAGCTCCAGATCAAGTTTGTTCTGACTCAGTCTTTGCCTAGCTGTACTTAGAGTAGCTGATGTGCATGACAGTGCTGGGGGGAGTGTTATAGATTGTGCTGAGGACAAGCAGTTGTGCCCAGGTTATTGTTTTATAAAGTTGGGATTTGTTTAGGTCTTTTCCTGAAACATGAGAGCAGCCTCATTTCTCAGTTAAATAACAAAATTATTCCAAACTTCAAGGCCGAATCAGGACAAGAGAAGTAAATAAGGGATTTTAAATCTCAGTAATCAAGATACCATCAATGGTGTAATGTGCTCACTGCAGTTTAGCTGCCTTTGTAGGCTGAGTCCCCTGGATTTTACTGTCTAAGCATTAAATGCCATCAAAACCTGGTGGGATTTGTTGTGAGGAATAAAATGTTATGTGGAACAGCCTTGTTGCTGCCTGCTCTACAACTTGGAGTTAGAGTTCTTTGTATTAAATGTTAACTAGAATAAATTTTCCTATCACTTGGCTTTCCATGCATGTTTCTGCAACCAAATTAGCAAAGATCCTCTCTGTATTAATAGATGTAGTAAATGACAGTGAATTCATGCATTGTGGAAGGGTTTCTTAATTAATAGGGCTCACAGATATGTAAATCTGAAGAAGGTGCCCAAGCAGCAGCCACTGGCTATGGTTTAATTCTTTGGAGCACAGTGCCTGGAGTGGCTTCAGTAATAGCTGGGCCATATTCTTTAATCATAATGACAACCAGGATTGTGTTATTTTTTGCCTTCCTCTGCCTTTTTAACATTTTTATTTATTTAAACAGTGCTATAGGAAAGATGTTTGCTCAAAACTAGGTATTACCAAGTTGTTTCTCTTTTCCAAACCTCTCATCTAAATCTGTGGTTGCAGGCATTGTTATTTTGTACACTTACTGTGTAAGTGGCTTTCATTTAGCTCTCCTTGTTAGTGTTTTGTTTTGGTTTTTTTATTTTTAATATAGAATCCCTCTGAAAAGAAATTAATTAGGATGGCATACTGGAAAAAAACAGCTTGGATTTGTCCCCTGCTCCTAAACAAAATTTAATAGGAAACTTTTGGATGGTGTTCCCCTCTTTGGGGATCCAGCTAACAATCAGTGGCAGGTATTTATTTTGGAAAGATTGCTTTGCATAGACAGAACTTGGCAGAGGGTTTGCCCATGAAGAGACATGGAACAATAGGAAGTCAGTTGTTTGGAGGATTTTAAATAGCTTTTTCCCTCTCCCTCTGTCTGTGTTGCAGCTGAAGGTTTCAGCTTGGTGGAGAGAGGCCTCTGTCCATGAGGGTGCTGGGGACAGGGGCTGGATTTCACAGGGGCTGGGTGAGTGCTCACACACACTGAGACCTGAACCAGTAGCTGGTGGCAGCCCTGGGCTGGACTCTCTTCCAATCTCCTGGCTCGTGGGTAAGCAGGGACCAGACTGTATGAGTTTAACTGGGAAAAGGGTCAGAGAAATGAGAAGGGTTTCCAGAAAGATGTCACTGAGTGGCAGAGGTCTCCAAGCCCATGCTCCTGTCCATCTGTAGAAACCAGTCATCCCTGCATAGACATGAGTGCATTGGAAAGGATAAACACCAAGGCAGGGTCAACCCTTGCCTGGCCCAAGCCCTCCCAAGTCCAGAAATGAGCTATGAGCTGATGTATGGGTACCTGTTCACCCCTGCCCTGCTGCCTTTGTGCAGGCACACAAACAGGAGACACTTCCACTCCTGGCTGCTCTGCACACAGTGTCTGAATTGCTCTGGCTGCACACACAGCAATTCATTGGGAATTCTGGTTTGGGACAGGTGACCTGGCAGTGCAGAGTTAGCAGATGCCTCGAGGCTGTGGTGTGCTGTAATTTGGTTAAAAATAAGTTGTGTACCTGAGAGTGTGTGGGGACATCTGGTAAAGCAGGTCAGTTCCATGCTTGTTTGCCTGTTTATACTGCCCATACCAAGTGCTCACTGGTTCTCCTGTGTTGGTGTGAGCTCCAAGGGAGGTTCCTCAGCCAATACTTGTGGACATTGTACTCCACGTGGGCCAGGGAAGGCTGTGAACCCTGTACTGGGCTCTGGTTTATTTTGAGGTGCAGTTTCAATGTGGATTGGACTAGGTTTGCTCAAGCACCACAAAGTCATGTCTGTTTGGATCCATCCTTAGTTTAGGTAGGGACTTCAGGGCTTCTTTTTCCTTCTGTGGATGGGAGATGGTAAGCCTTTAATGTGATACGTCTCTTGTCTTCTCCATGATGATTTTTTTTCTGTCCCCAGTAACAATTTTGATACAATGGGCAATGTGCTTTGAAGGTATGAACAAACTATCCCTGAAATACCTATTTTGGTAGGAATTTTAGCTTGCTGGGCCACCTGAAAAACCAGAGCAGTTGGCTTGGTCATATGCAGATAGCCTTCTAGAAGACCTGAGAAGGTGGCCAAGGCAGCTGAGTGAGAGGGGCAGTGAATCCTGAGAGCTTTCTCTGCAGGGATTTTGGGTGCCCAGAGTGGGGAAACATCTGATGCCATCCCTAGGTACACAGAGAGGCCTCCTCTTTGTGGCTGGAGGGTTCTGCAGATATTTTGTCTGTACTTGGAGCAGATTATCAGACCATAGAACTCTCTCTATGCTTTTACCACATCAGAAGGAATTGTAGATTTAAAGCTACAGCTTGGCTGAATGAACAAGACAACAAATAATTGGCTCAGGAGGGGAAGAATGAGAAATGTGGTTGTCCTTTTTTTTGCCATTTGCAAGAGGGAAACCATTTCAATTCCTCTTCCATCACATCCTGGAATGCAAGAGTGCATTTGATGCTATATAAAATGTGTTCTTAATGCACTGAGAATAACTCAGGTGAATAATCAAAATCAAACATGAAAGAAAGAATCAGCTTGGATAGTTTGACTTGTTACATGGCAACATGTTGAAGATTAAAAGGTTCTGTGGAAGTACTTGATTGCAAAGATCAGATTGATTCCTAAAGATGTTTGGTTTTTTTCTTCTATAAGCAGAGATCTTGTGGTAGTTTGGAACTTTCTTTGCAAGAAAATGGACCTGATGATTTATTAGCAACAGGATATTGAATATAAAAGAAGAGCATCTGTTCAATCTTCCTTTGCTATGTTCTATACTCTTTGCTCTTTGTGTTGGTTAGAATAATTATTCCTGAAGTCTCAATTTTTTTGAAGTTATTATGTGAGGGAATTAGTTGTTTTTCAGCTTTACTCTTGCCCTGACTGTGGTTTAGCTCCATCCTCATTTATGTAAATGAAGTTTCATATTGCTTTGAGTAGTATAAGTATTCATTCTGAGGAGATTTAATTTTTTTTTAACATGGGTGGTGAAGTTAGAAGGTTAGCTAAGTAATATTATTTTTCTTGTGAACAGGTATTACAGAATTTGTGATAATATACATATATAAATATATACATATATGTATATATACTTGGCCCTTATAATTTAATCCACATATCTGAAGTCATCATGAGTGCTGAGTATCAGGAGTATCCTGGACTGCCTTACAGCCAAAACCTTACAGCTCAGGATCCAAGAGAGGAGCTTTTGTTACATTTGTTCTACATTGCAAAGGCAGCAGGATTGCCTCCATGATTATGTAAGAATCTAAGAAAAGTTGATTGTAGGATACCAGATTCCAGAATTGGAAGAGCAGCATAAATGAATAAATGTGCAAAATTACAGAAGGGTTTTTTTTCTTTGAAAGCTCATTTGTTTTTCCATTTTATGTGCCATTCTAGTGAAGTGTCCTGCATCTCTCCCAGTTCTTGTTCCTCTTGTATTTATTTTGTCCTTGGCTCATTGAAGGTTATATGCATTAACATACTTGTTTTTCATTCTTAAATATATGTATAAACCCATTAACAGGTGTGATTTAATAAATAGGTTTGAAATGATGCATTTTACTAATGTGGGACATGGTCCACTTAGGAACGTGTCTGAAAGCATTTCTTTGGGCAGAGTGCCTGTTTAAACTTCTGTTCCTTATCTGTCCTTCAGAGTAATCAGTGTGTTTTTAAACTGAGGGGAAGGTCTGAAACATTTATTTTGGCATTTGCTTCAACAGCGTGATTGTGGTTGGTTGATTTGATTTCCTCAGTAACCAAAAAAATCCCCCAAAGTAATTTCTCCTTCATCATCTAATTAAATGCAAACACTACACATGTTTTCTGTAGGTGATCAAAATTCATGGCATAAATGTCAACTCTTGTCTGAAACCTGCCAGTCTGTAGCAATGGAAATGGGATATTTAGTCTGCTTCAGCAATTAACATGATATGCTGGATTCAGGTGAAATATGGGTAAGACATTGTGTCAACTTTACTGGAATGACCTCTAGAATATTGCAAACTGTTTATTATTGAAGTTATTAAGTTTCCACGTACTAAATATTACAGAAAGAGAAAACATTGTCATGTGTGTGTAGTGAAATAATCCAATATTAAAAATACTAACTTTTTTTTACATATTTTACAAATCCATGGCAGATTTCCCTATGGATTCTAATAACGGCAACTGTAGAGGTGCTGGCATTGGTAAGTACATTTTTATAGAACTGTATAATAAGTAAAAAAACTGTATAATAATTTTTATAAAATTGTATAATAAGCTGTAGACTTTCAAATCCTTTAAATATTTAACTAAGAGAGGTACTAAGTGATAAACACTTAAATACTTAGTCTTGACTGAGAATACTGCAGATTTTGCTTTTGCATTCCATGGGGAGGTGGGATCTGGGGGCTGGTCAGCCTCAAAATGTCCATCAAAGCAGGAGGGCTGTGCTGATTTTATTAAAGGTTTTGTCTTGAACAGGGAGAGTAATCGTTAAATTGATTTTTCCCTGGGCAAAACCAGTGAAGATAATGGTTCATTTTGACCTTAAAGTTTTCAAATTAAATTCAGTACTGTTTGTAGATAATGGCAGTGCTCCCTTTAGCCTGAGGAGGTTGAGAGTGGCACCTTCTGAGGGTGGTTTTATTCCAGCAAGTTCCTTGTTGCTTTTTATTGCTGTTTTGGTTTTGCTAGAACTGAATAAAACCCCTTGAGCATTACCACTACTTGCCAATGCAAAGAAGCAAAGCCCAGGATGGTGGCTAATAGTTATAGGAATGTGAATCTTTTGCCCATGCAAGCCAATGACTGTAGATTTTCTTGAATTTTATTATGATTCCATCCAAAGTTCTCCTCTTAGATCTTTGTCAAGAAATTGAGACTTGGAAGCTGTAGTACTGACTTCCATGTCTTTCCTTCTGCAGAGGTGCTGATGAGCTACAGTGTGCACTGATGTTCACCTAAAAGGTGTTGAACCTAACATTAGATACCTATAGATAGAATTTCAGCATTAAGCTCTGTGACCAAATTGCAAAAATATATCAGTAATGCCCAGTTTATATAATAAAGTTTAAAATTTTAGTCAGTAGGTTCCAGTGTTAAAACAGCTATATTTGTGCAAAATGTTCTTTAAATCACAGTGCATAGCCTCTAGAAGCCCAGGTACAGGTAAAAAAACCTCATAACAGCAAGCCCCTTAACAAGCTTTGCTTTAAATTGTCTTGAGCATGAGACCATGTCTGGAAGACTGGCTAAAGATATTTGTTACTAATGTTAGTATCTTCATAGCTTGAAGCCATTTTCAGTTGTGTGGCATTGAGAAAGCTGGGATTTCATGCACCATGTGGACTGTACAGAGAGCATACAAGCTTCACTCTGAGCATGAAGGAAGCTGTGTGTTCTCATTGTCACCTTAAATCAAAACTGTGAGGCATATCTTTACTGCTGCCTGTCCATAGGCATGTAAGTCCAATGAGTGACCCCGCAGTAGAAGAGGAAATTTCAGTCACATTGTGCCTGTTGTGATGCTTTTTGATGGCTAAAAGCAAAACCAGACCTAAAAAAAATCCCATCTAGAAAATAGGGTAAGGATGCACAGAAAAATTGCTGCTGCAGTATCTGCTTTTACTGTTCAAACATGATTTCTAGTTCAGTGTGCTGCATCTGTCTGAACTGACAAACACAGTTGGACCACCTAAAAGGCCATGTATCAAAATGGCTTTGTTTATGTGCTCAGTAAAGTAAATTTAGAGCAGTTTTGTTGGTTTGTTTGCAAGTAGCAAATTGATACATTTTTTTAAAAAAATCCCATTCTCAGCTTTGTGGTTTCTGCATCTGACTGCTTGTGCTGCTGTGCATGGTCACAGGGAGCAGTACTCATAGGTTATCCCTATTTGAGACATCTTTTTTTCCCTGTCAGTGTCTGCTGGCGAAACCTTCCCTCTGAGTCTGCATGAGGGTTTTTTGGGACACCTTTTTTACCTCTGTTGGCAGTGAAGTCCATTGTTTTCTGCTTCATCACATGCTCCTTGAGTCTCTTAGAAAATTTTCTAGAGTGTTTATTTTTTATCCTTTCTTTATCTGGGAGGTGTTTGCCAGGTTTGAGTGCCTGTACAGGTCAGGATTACAGCCAGGTTTTCCATCTTACATACACATATATTTAAGATGGCACAGATGTTTCTTGGTAGCAATCCATGGGGAAAACCATTCTCTCCATGTCTTTTGGCATTGACAGAGTGAAGTTTTCAAAGACAGGGACTTTGAGCAGTTTGTAGTCCTGTATTTATTTGAAAAGAAGATTTAATGGCTGGCTGTGATCTCAGCCAAAGCCAGTGGGAGCCTCTGCTGCTGTCTCTGTGCTGGGGACATGGCATTGTTGTGGTGTCAGAGCTCTTCTGCTAATCCTGGCAGCTGCTGAGGAGGCTGTCAGGTAGGATGGGATTTTCCCTCAGCATCAGGTGATGCAGTACACTTTTACTGCCACCTTTTGTGGGTGTTTCCACTCCCTGGGGGAAGGTCAGCATTTGCCTTCCTTGGAAAATCACTGTACCAGGAGCTGGGAGAGAGGAATTGGTTCTGGCTCTAACTTTGTAACTGACCTTGGCAAATGACTTTTGTGTTAGTTTCTGTATCTCTAAATAGTGATAAGGAATAATGCAGCATTTTGTACAGTTCTTTTAAATGTAAAATTAAAAAGCATGAGGATGACTAGGATGTTCTTCAATAAGAATATAGGCATGTCAATAATTTAGAAATAGACTAACAAAATACATTGTAAAGTTAATAAAGTAATACTGCCTTAAAACTAAAGGAAATGTGAGGCTGTGTTCTTGTCTTGTAATTTAGCCTGTTTTATTTTACCTGGGACACAGTGCAAAGTTCTGTAGAGCAGGAGAACATTACAATGTGCCACTTGCTGGACTTGAGTGCTGAAGTGCTTGTGTGAGTGTGGAGCACATCTTTTATTCTCTGCTCCAAGGCAGCTGTCATTTGGCCTGCAGTATCCATGAGCTCACAAAGGCAGAAGGGAAGCCAAAAATCACTTCCCTTCTGTGCTTTTGTTGTTTTAACACAAACACATAGAAAAGTTAAAGTATGTAGGGCTCTATATATAGATTCCTGAGGATGTGTTTGAAATTCAAGGAAATAATATACTTTTCTTTTGAAATGTTTTCCTCTTTCCTGTATTTTTTTTTGTATTTTCAACTACAAAAATTCTTCCAATAGAAAATAATGTTTCCATCAATTTTAATTTTTTTAATATGCAGAAATCTTATATAATCAAATAAAAGTTCTTTTTCAGACTCTTCATGTTAGATTTAACTAAACCACTAGCTTATATGCATTGATACTTAGAATGATGGTGCATAGAAATAAACTGCATTAAATCTACTTCCATTTATGCCAAATCAAATGTCGAAATAGATGCACATGCACATGTAATACTGGGATCTGCTGTTTGAAATTACTCCACCAAACCACACTTAGACACTGGTGTAAAATAAAAAGTAAATATTTGCAGTAGAACAACCAGTCCTGAAATACCAGTGGTGTTTCTGAACACCACTGTGGCTCTGGAGTTCAGTATTAGCATTCCCAGGGCACTAATGAAAATGTTTTTACCTCTCTTAGAGTTCCCAGCTGTCTGGCATCTGCACCTTTGGAAATGCTGCTCTGACAGTGCTCATTTGTGTTGTTTTTTTTGAAGGCTGTCCTTCTGGCCTCAAGGGCTAAGAAATTCTCTATTTTCATTAAACTTGGACTTCTGGGTCATAATAAAATTGTGCAAAATTTACACCATTCCTCATGGTGGATTGGATGGACCTCTCAGCAACCTGATCCAGCTGAAGATGTCCCTGCTTATTTGCAAGGGGGTTGGACCAGGTGGCCCTTAAAGGTCCCCTCCAATGCCAAATAGTCAATGAATGCCTGCTGGCCAGAATATCCCAGTTTGCTCAACTGACCTGAGATACTGACCTGATAATACTCAAAAAAATGTTCAGTCATGCACTGCCACAGTATTTTCTTTCTGTGTCTCTGTTATGGTTTGTATGATAAAAGGAGAAGAAGTGAGGGCATTCCTTAAGTCTAGCACAGAGAGAGCAGCATTGCAAGGATGGAATTACAGCACCTGTGAGCTCAGGATTGAACATTGAATTGGCTTTAAATGATGATTTTGTCACTCCAGTCTCAAAGTCTGTGTGTCTTTGTTGTTGTGCTGTGGTTTGTTTTTGTTTTGTTTTTTTTTTTTAATTTCAGTATGTCAGGTTGTTCTCCTAAAAAACATTTAAGGTCTCATGGGCAGTTCCTCATCTCCCAGCAGAACAGGCCAGGAATGCCCTGTGGTTTTTAGTGTTTCACTGTAATAAGCAAGTCAGTTCAGTGAAATTTTTGTTAGGTGTTTTTTGATTTAACCCTTTTCTGACTTAGAGATGGGGTAGCTGAGAGGTGTTTTAAAAACTTCTGTTCCTTTTTCAGTCCCATGAGAAGAGTGAGACAATACAAGGTGTTATAATTCACACCATCCCAATCTAATTACTTTAGTGTTAGTTTCTGTATCTCTAAATAGTGATTAGGAATAATGCAGCATTTTGTACAGTTCTTTTAAATGTAAATTTAAAAAGCATGAGGGTGACTAGGATGTTCTTCAATAAGAACATGGGTATGTCAGTAATTTAGAGATAGAACTAGACTAACAAAATACATTCTAAATTTCATAAAATAAGACGATACTGCCTTAAAACTGAAGGAAATGTGAGGCTGTGTTCTTGTCTTGCAATTTAGTCTATTTTATTTTACCTGGGACTAATCAGAAGCCAACTATTTCCTAATTACAATACAATAATTACAATAAGTGTTTCTTGGCTTAACAAGATTTAACAGATCAAATTAAAACAGGTGATAGATCATAGTTGGATGACTTATTTAAAAGATCAAGTTTTACCCTTTATCTAAAAAAGGTAAAGATACAAGATAAATTTATGTTCATTAATTATTATAATAATAATGTTAAGAATAGTATCTTGTGTACTTCAGTGTATGCGGCAGTCAATGAGCAAAAACATCAAATTTATTTCTTGGATTTATTTTTTATGAATCCAATTCCCACACTGTGTGAGCTCCAGGTTTTGGGAAGATTGTCACTGAATACATGTTTTTTTCTTTCTAAACAAAGCTTTTTGTTTCTGTAGAGCGCTGCAAGTGCAAGCCAGTGAAAGCTACCCAGAAGACCTACCTACGGAACAACTACAACTACGGTGAGAGCAGCTGCACTGCCAGCTCCCAGCTCTTCTAAACCTGCAGCAAGGGGCAACTTCTCATTAAAAAAGCCTAAAAAGTTCACTGTTACTGCTGGTAACCCAATATTGCTTATTGCAGGAGGAAGGTGTAGATTGGATCATTTCCAAATTAGAAGGATGGAGGGGATTAGCTTGATACGTTGGTACAAGGGTATCTTTGTTATTTCAGTTTTAGTGCAGGCATTTGAGGGTTGTGTGCTTGTCTGGTGTGAACAGTGATGCAACAGAAATGGCATTGCTGTGCCTGAGCTGCCTCTGTGATTGCCAGTACCCTCAGCTTTTGGAGAAGGGGATGTTTGTTGCAGCTTTCATGCCCAATAGCTCTCCATGACATCTGACAGGTTCTTTTCCTTCTGGTGTCTCAAAGCCAGCAGTGAGCTCTTGCTAGCTGTGTTAGGCTGTCTGTAACACCTGTACAAGTGCACATGGCCTGCTCTTCAGGCATATCACAGCTCCAGGCTCATGTTTTCCTTCATACTGTCAGTTTCAAGCAAACTAAGGCAGTGAAACCACTGAATACATATCACAGGGACTGAACATTGGGCCCTTCCTTATTGCAAAACCCAGGACTTTTTAAACACTTAAGCCTTTATCAGTTATGAACTTAAAGTATCAGTTGTATCAGTTACAAACTTAAAAGTTAAAACTTTATTAGTTGAAACCATTACAAACCTAATCCAACCAACCACCATAACCACAATGTGAACACATCATGGTTATATAACTTCTTTTTCTACCCCTAATTCAGCTCAGTCACTTTCCCACAGTCCTTTTCTGCTTAGCCAAAGTTGCGGGCCTGACCAATGATTTTACAAGGGTAACAAGCACTTATTTTATAAAGCTTTATCAATATGCAACACTTCTTTTTTTCCTATTAATCAGGTGAAGAGCCTTAGGTTCAGCTCAGCTTTAAGGCTTTATTTAAATGGTAGTAATTGTATAATATTTATTAAGATTGCACATTTATAAAGCCAGAATCAGATAATCTTATTTTTAAAAGTAGTTTGCTATTAAAAGCTAAAAAATTACAGCTGTATTCAAACACTTTTTTGGTCAATAGTCAATTTGATGTTGTTTTGGTGAATTTGTTTACAAAAAAATTACAGTGGCTATTCTGTGGTCAGAAACTGCATATGGCAGAGTCATTGGGCATGCTCCTGTCCATTTTCTTAAGCTTTTAAAATTAAATGGGTTTTAAAAGGCATTTGAAATGCCTCCAAACTAAAATAATATTTTATTTTGAGATCTTAAAAGGTTTTGAGAAAGGGAATCACTTGGGGTAAATTGTTCATACTAGATACACAAATTGGTGTTTGTTGGCAACTGTATTTAATGTGCCTGCAAGATATGCTGGTTAATGGCTGTTATGGGGAGAAGATGTGCAAGTCTAAGGCTTTCTTTCTTCTATATTACCTTTTTCACACAGGAGACATTTGGAATTTGGTGTATCTCCTATTTATAGTGTGGCAAGGGACTCTTTGAATGATGTGGCATTCTCTAGAGCACGACCTCTGGGTTGGCTTTGCATTTGTATGTGGTATCAGTTCACTGGTCACCCCGAGAGAATGAAAATCTTTGCCTTTCAAAGGCAGCCTTTCCTCCTGTGCAACTTGAGGCAAAAAGAGAGGCCAAGAGAGGAAACAATTAGAGAGGTCATTGGGTCAAGATCAGGAGCATTTGAAGTTCAGAAAGTGCAGAGCAGATTAGTGCTGGGTCACTGGAGAGAATAGAAAAGGTAAGGGCCTGTCATCCAGCTGAAGCAGTGATATGAGAAGTTTTAATGCACATTCCCTTTCTGTGTAAGGTTCAGAGTGATAAAGTTTGCTCATCAGTACTGCAGGTAGGCAGAAAGGGAACAGTCACAGCTCAAGGGAGAGCACACAAGAAATAGATTTAATATATTTAACATGGAAAGAGTGAAGAAGAAAGGAAGGAAGGAAATCAAAGCCCAACTTAAGCAGGACATAAATCCAATGGGTACATAAGTCCTGCTCCTGACCATTATTAAGGGACACACTGAGCTACCTGCGCCTCCTTGGTGGAAGGTGAAGTAGTGAAGAGATGGAGGCAGAGACATTGCAGGAGTTCAGCTAACTTCTGATAAGGGACCGTGCAAAAGAGGAATGCCAGGGGTCACCAAGAGCAGCTGGGGAGTGCCCTGCATTTTCTGCTGCTGCTGACAATGCTCTTTGTGGCTTTCCCCAGTCATCCGCGCTAAAGTGAAGGAGGTGAAGACTAAATGCCACGATGTCACTGCAGTAGTGGAAGTCAAGGAGATCCTGAAATCTTCCCTGGTCAACATCCCAAAGGACACTGTAAACCTCCACACGAATTCTGGCTGCCTGTGTCCCCCCCTCAGTGCCAATGAGGAATACATCATCATGGGCTACGAGGATGAGGAGCGCTCCAGGTAACTCCTGTGCTGTCCTCAGCTGTTCTCCTGTCATAAAGCTCAAAGTCAGAGCCAAAAGTAAGGAAAACCTGGTCTTCAGGGAGGGCAAGTCTCTCTAGAGGTGCAGAGATTTTAGTTTTGTGTGTGCTGGGTTGTATAGCCCCTTGATGGAGTTGTCTCTGTTGTGTAGGTTACTCTTGGTGGAAGGCTCCATAGCTGAGAAGTGGAAGGAACGTCTTGGTAAAAAAATAAAGGTAAGAAAATACCTCACTAGAAGCCAAATGTTGTGGGTGCCATAAAGCATCTACCTGCCTTTTCAAAATAAGGGAAGAAAATTTGTGTGCTGCCTCCAGTTAATCAATATCACGTATCAAAAACGAACTTGGTGTTTTATTTGCTGTATTTCTTAGAACTGCTTGCTGAGTAAATTAAAGGGATACATTGAATTACCCCAAAGTATCCCATTGCAGCAGTAGTCAAAAGCTCTGTCTCAAAAAAGCAAATAGTAGGAGTCTTTTAACTCTGTAGCAAGCTGTGTGTTCCACAACACATACCTGCTTAGTTGGGCTTGTGATATGAATTTAAAAAAAACAAACAGACCCGGGGGCTTTGCAAATGTTTTTCAGATTAAGTCATGGGCAGGGACACCTTCCACTGACCCAGGTTGCTCCAGGCTCCATCCAACCTGGCCTTGAGCATTTCTGGCATTGGAGCAGCCTCAGCTTCTCTGGGCACCCTGTCCCAGGGCGTCCCTACCCTCACAGCCAAGAATTTCTTCCCTATATTTTATATAATCTAATCTAATCTGATCTAATCTCTCTCATTTTAAAGCCATTACCCCTTGTCCTGTCATTACATGCTCTTGTAGAAAGTCCTTCCCCATTTCTCCAGTAACCCTTTTAGGTATTGGAAGGTCCTCTAAGATCTCTCTGAATCCTTCTCCAGGCTGAGCAACCCCAGCTCTCTAAATGAAAATATATTCTGGTTTTTTCTTACTTAAATGTTTTTTAATGCCTTCCAGTTTCTGGAAGGATTACCTTTTTATGAAATAGATTTAATATATTCAACATACCTTTTTGATGTTCTGATGCACTGCAAAGTGTCAGTGGTTTTGACATTGTCAGGAGTGTCACTTTACACTGAATATTCTCATTTTGACACAATTTCTCAGCCATACATTTGCCATAGTGGTTTTGCCTGTGCAAACCAGTCTTCTCTTCCACTCAGCACTTTCTTCATCAGTGTCAGGATCACTGGCAGGAAAATGCTGTTGTGTTTATAAAAGCAAGGTTTTCTGTACACATTTCTCACATCAGTAGAGATTACAGGAGTGAAAGATACAGGGATCTTATTTCAAGTTGTTGTTTGATTTGGCAGAACCCTGGGAAATCCAGTGCCACAGAGAAAATATCATTTTGCTGCCATGAGCTGACTTCTGTTCAGTTTCAGCTCCTGGGTGATAACATTATTTGTTGGAATTGTTTTGGGGAACACACTTTTTTACTTCCTTCCTTATTGTCTTTACCCTGCTGCCTCTGCCCTCACACCCAGCCTGGGGGTGTTGAGGATCCTACCACATCCCCACCCACTTCTTATCATAATTTTCTTTCCAAGAGCATCAGCAGTTGTGCAAACTACATTTATTATGTCTTTTTTTGTTGCTGTTTTTACTGTAATTTCTATTGCCTGCAAAAATAAAACCAAATATTTTTTTAATTAACAAAAACCCCTTAACTTTTTTTCCTCCTGCTTCCCCCAAAAACCACATGAGTGGCTTCATTTAAGTTTTATTATTTTGGAGGTGTGTCCCCCTTGTGCTGAAGCCTTGGGTCAGACCCTTCATTCCCAGAAGCTGCAGGAAAGCCAGGAAACAGTTTCCCTGTTTAATTGGGAACTTTTAAATGTTTAACATTTAAATAGGGACTTTTCCCAATGAGCTCTCATTGCACCCTTGAGCCCAGCACAGTCAGGTGACATGGTGGAAACAGCAATAGCAGCTTTTGCTGCTGTTTGTGAACACATTTTCTGTGTGAAACATTTGAAAAGGTGCATCTGTAGCCTCTCTGGTAATTTCTGTAGTGTCACTGTAGGACACAAAATAAAATGATGCCAACACTGCAATCTCTAAGGTAAAAGAAGGGCAGTTTAATTCTGACTCCAGCATTTATAGATTTCCAAAAGTGACAGTGGATTGGAGGGTGACAGTGCCACCTCTCCAATGACACTGGACAAACCAAGAGTCCATCAAATTTCTCCTTTTCCAGAAAAGAATGTAAAACAATATTTACAGAAAAGTGGATGAGAAAGTTCATTACAAGAATATAAACATCAGAAGGCTTAGAAGAACAGGGCAACACTGTAGCCTCTCTGGTAATTTCTGTAACACTGGTAATTCCTGTGAGCTCTCTGGTAATTTCTGTGACTCTCTGGTAATCCCTGTGGCTCTCAGGTAATTTCTGTAACACTATTAATTCCTGAGAGCTCTCTGTTAATTTCTGTGAGCTCTCTGGTAATTCTTGTAACTCTCTGGTAATTTCTGTAACCTCTCTGGTAATCCCTGTGACTCTCAGGTAATTTCTGTAACACTCTGTTAATTCCTGGGAGCTCTTTGTTAATTTCTGTAAATCTCTGTTAATTTCTGTAACCTCCTGATAATTTTGGTAATTCTCTGTTAATTTCTGTAAATTCTCTGGTAATTTCTGTAAACTCTCTGGTAATTTCTGTAAGATCTCTGTTAATTTCTGTAACTCTCTATTAATTTCTGTAACCTCTCAGGTAATCCCTGCAATCCCTCAGGTAATCCCTGTGCAGTCTCTCAGGTAATCCCTGAAGTCTCTCAGGTAATTCCTGTGCCATCTCTCAGGTAACCTCTGTGCCATCTCTCAGGTAATCCCTGTGCCATCTCTCAGGTAATCCCTGTGCATTCTCCCAGGTAATCCCTGCAATCTCTCAGGTAATCCCTGCAGTCTCTCAGGTAACCCCTGCGCCTCTCCGTGCTAACGCCGTTCGTTTCCCCGCAGCGCTGGGACCAGAAGCTGCGGCAGGCGGGCAGGGGGCGGGCCGAGCCCGGCCCCAGCGCGGCGGCCCCGAAGCCCGGCGGGGCGCGGCAGGCTCGCAGCTGGGCGTGACCCCGCCGAGGGATGCCGGACGCACGGGACTGGCTGCCGGGGCTTCCTCTTGGAGCAGCAAAGGAGAAATTGCACTATTGCACGTTATATTCTATTGTTTACTACAAAGTCATGTTCTAGCTTTTATTAGGTTTTATTCTCCCTCTTTGTTCTCCACCTTTTTCTTTTTGGATATGTGCAAGTTCTGGAAATGTATATTTTTTGGTTTTTTTCTGTTGCTAAGAACTGTAGAAAACTGCCCTTATGAGATGAAGAAAGACAATGTTCAATTTACCTTTTTATCTCCTAAATCTTCTCTGGGAGAAAATTCTGATGCTAGCAGGAATGAAATCTGGCAAAAACCATTGCTTAAAGTCATAGCTCTCACGGGCTTTCCCTGTTCACTCTTTCCTGGTTACTGTTTGCTGAAACTTGCTCTCTTTTGGGTAGGTTATCATCTGCATTTAAATGTATAATTTTTTATTCTGAAATATAATTCTGAATTACTTTTTTTTTTTTTTTTTTTTTTTGCTAAAGGAACTGTTTGAATCAGTACAGCTTTATTAAGTTTTCTTACAGATAAACCACTTGCATAAGGCAGACTCTAAATATTTCCCCGTGCATGTACACAGGGAACCTGGGTTTTCCAGTGCTTTGGACCTTAAAGGAAATATTATCTAGTTCTGTAACCATAATTTATAACTAAATTTATGCTTCTTCTCTTATAATGGCAGTTTTTTCTCCCTTTTCTCAGCTTAGTTATAGGAGTAGACAGACTCACCAGGTCAGTTTCTCAGTTCAGGTCTGCAGTTTAGACTTTTGATTTTGTGGTGTTATTCTTAAATCTGTGCCTACATAAACAAGTGTTCAATGCTCAGTAACATATGTCCAATAAAAGAATTGTAGTTGCCAACCACAGACCTTACCTGACTTCTGAACCAACATCATATTGCTAACACTACCCTTGAAAATATAAAAATCAAAAAAATCCCTAATTTTTGTGCTTTAATAGAATTCTTTGCAGATGGTGCCAACATATTGGAAATTATCTTTGTTTTTCTACTCTCCCATGCTTAAAAGAAATCAAAAAGGGGTACATCAAAGAACAATCCTCTTTGGCATAGTTCTGCAGAGGGGAACCAGCTCTACTTAAAAAGAGCAAATGGCTGTTGTGTCTTTAGTACACTAGGCTGACTTTCATAAGAAAATAGTGTTGAGTTGTTGGGTGGTTTGAAAATATGTTGGTGATAAATAGGACAGAAGTATTTGGGAATACTATAATAATGATGTTTTAAGATTTCAGTTAATAACCAGCAGTCTTGGGATAGATTGGGCTAGATACCAAATAAGTTGAAAAAGAACAACATCCTGCAACACTCAAATTTCTATTTGTAATTAAAAATAAAGGGATAATTTAGGGGAAAGATTGGTTCTGAAAGCTGGCAGAAGGATATTAATCTTCTAGATATTAAATCCTCAGTATTTTCTCAGAATTACAGAGATCACAGAATTACTTAGGTTGGAAAAGACTTCCAGGATCATCAAGTCCAAGTTTTGATTGATCTCCACCATGTGAACTAGGCCAGAGCACTAAGTGCCATGGCCAGTCTTTTCTTGAGGACCTCCAGGGATGGTAACTTTAACAAGCATTTCTACTGAGTAGGTAAATAACAGAACCATTTGTTAAGTTGTGAGTAGCTCAATAAATAAAGTTAAACCTCATTATTTACCCCAAAGCACCCACTGAAGTCCTGTAGATGAGTGCTGGAATCCCAGGGTCAGCAGTCACCAGCTGTGAAGCAGTCACATTATGTTCTGCTATGAAAGGAGCTGTGAAATCATAAAACTCTGTTAAAGATGTTGAAAATCCCCAGAGAGCTGGGAATGTATCCTTTGCTAGCCACCACTTCTGGAGGTGGCCTGTTCCATGCCATTGCTCTGTGATTAACAGCCACCTTTATTTAATCCACTTGCAGCTCAGTACTGACATTAGTTGCATTAAAAATTGCCAGAGCAGCGCACAGTGCTGCACTTCAAAACCTCAGTAAGAGACAAATGAGCAGCATTTGTGACTGTCACACACATCATGATGCTACAGTGAAAATATTTCCCATACTGGAAGCCACCAGATTGGTATTTTTCCAGAGGAATTAAGCATTTTTCATTAGCACATGAAAAATGAGGGTGGCATGATGGGTTTCTTGGAAGAGGCAAGAGGCATTTTTCACAATCCCTTAATTAACTGAGGAGCCTTTTACAAACTCTGGCAGTGCTTCTACCCCATCACAATGATTGCAGTGACTGAACCTCTGCAGCACCACCCAGACTCACTTGTGCTGAGTGTACAAAGATCAATCCAGGGACCAATGAGATACAGATGGCACAACATCAATATTTTATCATATTGATATTCCAATATCAATTATTTCAATAGCTTTGAGCAGTATCTCTCACATGTGTTTGGTGGCCTGGAGAACACTGAAATGCTCTGTTGCTCTAAAGCTGCACTTACTGCTCTATCCCATCTGTGAGGGCTTTGTGACAAGCCAGGCTACTCCACTGGTGTTTTAAAGTGACTTTATTTAAATTATAGTCTTACTAATTGACATAGTTGTACATTATTTTCTTGCTTCTACCCCAGGAAATCCTTTTCTGCCCTTTTTGTGCCCATTTTTTGTGGTCCTATATTAAACTTTCAAAAATGCACTATATAGCACATCCTTCTGTAGAAGCACACAGCCCTCAGCACAGTGTTTTCACAGACATCCACTTGGAATGTGACTTTGCTTCAATTTGCAATGGTTTTTGTTCCTCTGGTTTTACTAACTTATGTGAACACAAAGTCAGGTTTGGTTTGTGCAAAGTCACGTTGCTCAGCTGCAAAGGAAGTGGAGTGTGGACTGCAGTGTTTGCCTGATGGAGGAGCCCCCAGGATCCATCACACAGGTACATCAAGGGAGGGAAAAACCCCAAAGCAGAGAGATTTCAGAACTTTGCAGTTTCTGCAGGGCTGCATGCCTGGCTGGGCCGTGGGTCCAGCACTGGCTCTGCTCCCTGTGCCCTCCAAGTGGCCACTTTACCCCACTGAGCTGCTCCAGGCTCTCCTCCCTCCTGATTCCCAGTTTCTCCTGCATCCTGCACCCAGGCTCTCCTCCATCCTAACCCCTGGGGGTTCCTCCCTCCTCCTCCCAGCCCTCTGGTCCGTGGGGAGAAGGGAAGACTCTTCTCCACAACACCTGGGCACAGCACAAGGTGACAGAGCCCTGAATGCAGCCCCACAGCAGGCACACATCAGCTCCTGCTGCATCCAAGGCACTGCAGGAGCTGCAGATGGACTTTGAAAGAGGATGCTGAGTTACAAGAATAAAAATTACTTAAGCTGCAACATAGCTGTTCCCATTTGGAAACATCACTGTGATGCATTTCGGAGATGTAGCCTGGTGCCTCCATCCTCATCCACACCACTGCCTGGTTCCTGTGCTTTCCAGATATGCTTCAGCTCTGCCTGTGGTGGTCACAGTAAGTACAGCAAGGTGAGCACCATCACTGAATCAGCAAATCCTATCAAGCATATTGTCAATCCTATTTAATTCTTGGGCTTTGGATTTTTTTAAGTACTTGGTGAATATCAGTTAATGTGAGAAGGAAATTCTGCTGCACAAAAAGCCAAGAAAACCAAATTTCTGAGTTAATCATGTTTACTACTCTCCTCCTGTCCTCACTCTCAAAGCCTTTGGAAGAAAGCAAGGTTTGTTATCTCACATTTTGCCTAATTAGGTCTGTGTTTGAGATTCCCTGTGTCAGGAAAATTAATCCATGATGTCAGAGGTTTAAGTCCAAAAAGGAGACAGAGGAGTCCTGTAAGGACAAAGGAAGAGGCCATGGGGTGTTTCCCAAGGGGTCTCTTGAATTGCTGGAGGATGCAGCCTCCTTCTTATCCCAATTTCCTGGCCACATTTCCCTCTCTCTCTCTCCCCATTGGCTGAGGTACTTGAGAGGTGCAGCCTTCCCAAATCACCTAATGCAGACCTGCCTTTTCTGTGTATCTCTGTTCTTTTTCTCTAAATTCAGGAATTTAGCACAGCCTTGAGTGACAGTCTGTGTTAATGAGTGGAATTCCTCTGGAATTTATGGTCCCTCCCATTGCTTCTTTCACCTATCAGTGTCTGCCTTTATCTACCAGCAGGCCCACAGCTTGTTTGTAAAGACACATCCCTGTCATTCCTTCCACCTGAACATCCCATGCAATTTAGAACCAGAGACTGTGGTGTGAAAATGTGGTGCTTTTTTAATCTTCCCTAAGTTGGATGGAGCTTTGCCTTACATTCCTAAATCCTGCACTCAAACTGGGTCAGTGTATGCTAACAGGCAGTGTTTTTTAATTATTATTAATTTCTAAAAGTCCTGCTTCCCATCCAGCATGTACTTCATTCCTGTCTTTGAGTAAGATACTCCTACTTCATCTTCCAATCCCCATAGTTAAGCAAAAGAAAAAATAATGCTGTGTGAGGATGAAGCAAAGGCAAGGTGCAAGTGTGGGAGCAAACCCACCTCTGTCCCTGCAGAGAGAGCAGCAGCTGGCCTGAAGTGCCAGCAGGGACAAGAAGCAGCTGCTTCTCTCATATCCTGCTCAGAGCAATGCTGGTAAGTGATTCTGCAGTGTGTGCAGGGCTCTGCCCTCCCTGGAGCCCAGCTCTGTCACTTGTCTCAGGGAAAAAATACCTTGAATTGCTTTAGAGCCCTGGCTGCACTCAGGCTTCTGTTGTGATGGTGTGTCCCTTTTAAATGGATTTCCATATGCTGGAAGGAAGGCTGATTTCACTCTGTTTCCCAAGATCTTATTGAACACTATAGAGATAATATATTAACTTTTAATCTTGCCTTTTCACCTGCAGTGAAACTATTTGAGGGTCATGGTCAGTCTATTACTTTTGTAAAAAATTTGTAGCTATGAAAAAAGTCCTCAGAAGTAATTCAGAGTATTTAATTTCAGATCTGATTTGTTTGGAGGCGGCACTATTAAAAAAGGGCAAGCAGAAGAACATGTGATAGGCAGCCTGTTACTGGTGTACAATGTGGTTATTTTACTGGGTGATGCACATAATGCACATACCTACACAAGCACGTGTGACCAAAGATCATGGGATGTATGGAAGGGCTGATTAAAACCATGCCTTTCCCATATCTGGGTTAGATTAGTCCAGAGAGAAAATATGCAGCTTAAAATCTCTGGGAATAATTAGTCTGACAAGTTGCTTCTCTGGTGCAGCTCAGCAGATGAGGAGGCAGGAGGAATAAACACCAAAGTTGCTTATTCACCAGAAATGTCTTTAATTTCTGGCAGGGGGGTCACTCATGGCTTTAATAAATCAGCTCTGGACATGTTAGCAGAGGCATGAAAATAACAGAGCTTGACTTCAGCCTGGGAGTTATAATTTTGGAGTATATTTCCTGCCATTGAAGCCAATAATTATCAGAGTCTATAGGGTGAGGACAACTTGCACAGTTGAAGAGCACAGAGAAAAGAGCACAGTTCAGTCCATCAGGGTTTCAGGACTAAACTGGAATCAGAGTTTTCTTTGTTGTGATAGTCCAGTTGCCCTTTCCTTAGGGTAAACATTCAGATGCATTTCTGAATGGTTGGTGTGCCACAGAATTAGGGAGGGTGACACCAAAACACAGCATGGCCAGAAAGCTTGTTCAGTGTCACTGACAGCACCACTAGCACAGAGGTCAGCTGTAAAAGTGCTTGGGCTTGACCCTCTTTGTCAAAATGTTCTTGTTCTCTGTGTTTTGTGGAAGAAAGCGAAAAAGCAAAGCTTTTTTTCCCTGTAGGGTTGTTGGGTGAGATGGATCTGGCTGCCCCTTTGACTTGCCACACTGGGAATTGCAATTCTTCATCCTGAGCTCTGGGTTATTTAGTGCCTGGTTCTTCCCTTGCTTTTCCTCTGGGAAGCTTCTGCCTGTGTTCCAAACCTGGAGCTGCCTCACCCAA